CCCCATGGCGGTGGGCACCCTGGACCACCCCCTGCTCCCAGCCGCCTTCGTCCCCGGCGCGGAGGGGAGCGCGGGGACGCGGGGGCTCTGGGAGGTGCGGGCTGGCCCTGGGGCCAGGGCTGGTGTCTGGATCTTCCCTAACTTAAGGATTTTTTATTTGATTTTTTTTCTCCTGCTCCAGGCCAAGCGGAAGCTGGATCTGGAGGGTCCCGGCCAGCCGTGCCGCCCCGAGTTTCGCACGCCCAAGGGCAAGGGCAGGACCCTGGCCCAGGTCCCCAGCCCGAGGAGTAAGTGGTGCTGGGCTGAGATGGGGAGGAAAGCAGGTGGGGGGCTTGGGAGCCCCATTTCTCTCCCCTATAAAGCTGCTGGTCTCTGTGACATCCCCTCCAGCACTGCCCCACATGACCCAAACTGATCTGCTGTCTTTGGAGCTGTGAACACGGGAGCCGTGTCCAGTCCTTGGCCCTTCCTTTCTGGTGCTCATCAGGCTTTTTGAGCCAATTCAATTCCCTGAACTGCCAGAAAACTCCCTGGGTGTTTTTATTTCTGAGGTTTGTGAGAGCTTTGATTGTCCCTGTGCAACCAGCCTCACGTCCCAGCTGCAGCACCGGCCTCCCCAACCCAACCCGGCAGGTCACCTCCGTCCCACGGCCCAGGCTGAAGCAGGGGGTTGGGGGCGTCTCTCGTTTCCCTGCAGCTCCCAAGTCCCCCGGCGAGAAGACGCGCTACGACACCTCGCTGGGGCTGCTCACCAAGAAGTTCATCCACCTGCTCAGCGAGTCGGCCGACGGCGTCCTGGACCTCAACCGCGCCGCCGAGGTGCTCGAAGTGCAGAAACGGCGCATCTACGACATCACCAACGTGCTGGAGGGCATCCAGCTCATCCGCAAGAAGTCCAAGAACCACATCCAGTGGATGTAGGTGATGCCAGTGGGGAACGGGGAGAGCTGGAGGGGGTAAAGGGTCATCCATGGGGAGAACTGGCTCCCAGGGGTGGTTGGCAAGTGGCAAGCGGGAAAGGATGGGGATAGGTGGCTTGGGGACACAGGGTGTCCCAGTGAGACTTGGTGATGGATGGGGAGAGCCAGATCTCTCCCTGCGGAGGTTGACGGCTCCTCAGACCCGTCTCCGCTGCGCAGGGGGACAGGGATCTTTGAGGACACGTCGGTGACGGTGAAGCAGCAGGTGCTGCGTGATGAGCTGGCCGAGCTGGCCAAGACGGAGAGGACACTGGACCAGCTCCTCCAGGACTGCGCTCTGCAGCTAAAGCAGCTCACGGATGACGAAGCCAACCAGAGATATCCTTGTCGGGAGAAAGCCACGTGCAGTGGTGTGGGCTTGGGCGCAGGGTCTTGGGTGCCCCTCGCCTTCCCTGTCCCGGGCTGGGGAGGACGTTTGGAGCCCGGGATTCGGTAGCAGCATTGCTGGGCTGGGGGGGAATTGAGGCGTCTCCCTTGCAGCATTGCTTTTTCCTATACTTCCTCCTCGTCCACGCTGGCGTACGTCACCTACCAGGACCTCCGCGCCATCAGCAACTTCCAGGAGCAGACGGTGATCGCCGTGAAGGCTCCCCCGGAGACGCGGCTGGAGGTGCCGGACTTCAGCGAGGTGCGCGGGGGCTGGCAGCGGGGCAGGGGGTGGCGGGGCC